ATGTGTTTTTCATACTAATAATAATAATATGAAAATAATATAAACTAAAAACAAATAGTATAAATCAAAAATGAATAATATGAAATATAAATAATATAAAATATAATAGTATGAAATATAAAAGGTATAAGATAAAATAATATGAAATATAATGAAATTAGAATGAAATAGTATGAAATCCAAAAAGGATCATAATTTGTAGATCATATATTTACTAATTATCTAATAGAAATATATTATAAATAACATGATATATCTTATATCAGGTGCTAAATTTATCACATGATAACAATATGAAAAATGGATAATATTGGTAAATTCTTATTACTATAAGATTTAAAATATAATTTAATTTTTGCCATCTTAATTGAAGATATTATCTTATTTTTCTTTTTTTAATTTTTTTCTTAAATTCAATCACTTTTCAAACACAATCTATATATGTTTATTCGATTCAGAAAACTAAATGTATTAGTATCTTTATTATACACATTATTAGAATCAATAATATAAAGTTATTAAATATTTATATTTTATAAAATGATAAACTTTTTTACTAAAAAATAAATATAAATTATAATAAAATAGATTCTTTTTACAAATTAAATTTAATATTTATTTTTTAGTAAAAAAAATTTATTCATTTTATAAAATATAAATATTTGCTAATTTTTAGATGATATATATTATATTTTTTTAATTGATTTTTTATAATAAAAAATAAATAATTAATCAGGAGATTGGTATAACAATATTTATTATCTTTTATATATAATATTAAAAAATATATTAAAATATATAAAAAGCAAAAGTACAGTCAAATCTCTTTATAGTCATTACCCTCAGAAAAGCAAAATTTGGTGACTATAGAGAGATTTTTTTATTATATTTATATATAAATGAAAAAGCAAAATAGGGTGACTATAAAGGGGTGTGACTATAAATAAGTGTAACTATAAAGGGATTTGACTGTATTTACTAAATTTTTATTAGAAAAAATTTGAAAATTTCAATTTTTTTGGATTTCCAGTAATTTATTATAGAAATATATAATAAAATAATTCAATCAATAATATATAAATACAATAGGGTATGCTGTATTAGTTTTAGGAATCATGATGCACAAAAGAGACAGAAAGTAAAGTATTTTCGATGATGTTTTCCATATCTTTTTTAAGAGTAAAAGCTAATTTCCAGGATATATAATTTAAAATGCTGATAATTTATTCTTTGTCCTCTTCTATTCGATATATTCAATTATATTCTCATGTGCTGTATGTATATTATATATTTATATGGGGGAAATATATATACATATAAGTACATATATATATATATATATGCATATCTATACGGTATGCATGTTTATGTATATTATGGATGTATGGATGTATGCGAGATGAGTGTGTTTGTGAAAAAATGATTTAATACTTATTTAACTTATATATTAAAGCAATAAGCGAAAGAAAAACAAGAAATGAAAAAGTTAAATAAACATGAATGTGTGTGTGTGTGTAAGTATGAAGTGTGAGTGAGTCTGAATAAGATGCGGAAGAGAAAAATGAAAATAAACAAACTATGGAAAAAATTAAAACCCAAAGATTCATGGTAAACAAATCAAGTGAAGTACGCATATGTTAATATGCATGCCGTACACAAGTGGTTTCAATCTACCTACAAATCGAAACGTGCAAAGAAAATAAAAATCCAAACATATATACTCTTAAGCCATATAATAAACTACCAAAAAAATCATAAATGTTCGACATAATAGAAATTATAATAAAGTCTTGTGGTGGGAAGGAAAGGAAAGAAGATGCGGCGAAATAATTAAATAAACGATAAAGTGGAGGAGGTAAAGAAAAAGAAGAATAAAGCTATACAGTGAATTATTAATTAAAATATACAAACTACTACCCACTACATCACGTGAGAATAACGGCCTAATGCCAAGAAATTTAATTTGGGAAAAAAAACCATTTTCCCTCCTCGTCAGATGTTCAAAATTAGCAGCCACTAAAATACAACAATTAAAAAAGAAATATAATATATAAACGATGACTGGATCTCAAAGCCATTATTTCCTTTCTCGACTGATCGACTAACTGTTTGCCTCAATGTGTGTATTATTGTTATTCGCCATCAAGATATCAACAAGATTATCGAGTAGGAGATATTGACAATAAATAGTATTATTGTTGTTGTTGTTGTTGTTGTTGCTGTTATTATATTATTATTGCTGTTTATTTCTATATTTTTCGTTAATGAATTATTATTACAATGTAGTAATAGTAATAATTATGACAACATGTTCATTGATGATGTTTGATCTTCGAGTGAGGATGATGTACTGCCGTCCAGACTACTTGTATTCATTTTACTCTGAAGATCACGAACCAACGCTTCCAATTCTTGATTTCGTGTACCTTGTTGATCAACAATCTTTTTGAGGTCACGAATATAATCAACTGATTTACGCAGGATCACTCCTTTATTTGGTTTGTTGGCCGAATCATTATACAGGTCGGGTAGTAATGTGGAGAGTTCTTGAATTTTTTCATTTATATTATCTCGGCGACGTCGCTCAACTTTATTACAACAATTTCATTAATAAGTAAGTGTTCATGGTGTGAGTAATCAATCAAGTAAAGGAAGAAGAGATTAAATTAAATTACTCACCAGCATTATGTGATTCTCGTCGTTTACGTCGTTTCTCATTCATCAGAGCACTGTGTTATTATTTATAAATAATAGAGAAATCAAAACTACTGTTTAGGGCTCGAAAAGATAACACGAAGTCAAAAGATAGATGAATGAAACAATTGAATTTGTTCAAAGAATAAAGATTTCTTTTAATAAATTCTAAATTAATTTCAAACATTTCTTTTAGTAATAAATGTCAATGCAAGCGGCACCAAAATAAACTCTATAGTCAACCTTTTAACATACCGCTTCTCTGCAGTCTCGTCTTCTTGCAAAAACTCACCACTCATGATCGGCGGCATGTCACCGGTGGGAAATTGTATGGATGAAGGATGTGCACCTGCAGCGAATCCGCTCGATTGATCCAAACTAGTGCCAAACCATTCGGTACCCGGTTGATTGAGTGTGACAGGTAGTGACATACTTACTGGATATTGATTGGAAAATCCGCTATTATTGTGCGTTCGATTATTAAAGAATTTCGTAGGTATTGTTTTTAAGTCTAATGCCCTTGCAGGAGCACTTGTCGAAAAATCTGCGGCTGTATCAAAAAAGAAATCTGTATTGTCTGGACCAGGAGAATAAATTGAGGGTTGTGTTCCAGGTGATTCACCAAATTGAGAACCAGTATCTACATGTATACCACCAGAATTCTCAAGATCACCACCCACACCACCACTTGCATCTACACCATTACCGATGCCACCCCCACTGCCAATACCGACATGTTTTAAAGAATGACTCATACCAATATATTCATCAGGTTCATATGAATTTGTAGGAGGGGAGCCGATCGGAGAAGAGTTTGATAACGGGGACATTATGGTGGAGGCTGGATCACCATATTCCAAATCTTGAGGTGAATTTGATTCTTGTTTAATGTGATGATGTGGATGAGAGATAAAAGCAGTTTGATGAAATGCGTTTATTATATTATTATGATTATTACTAATACTATTATTTTTATTTTGATATTGTTGTTGTTGATGATGATGATGACTATGATTACTACTATTACTTAAAATACCAGGATCTATTGTACTATTATTAGTAAAAGAATTGTTTGGTGTAGGAGGCGCACCATCGTTATTTGTAGCCTGCTCTTGCCCTCCTCGTTTATTCCGCAGTTGTGTCTGTTCAATGTGATAGGAAGTGGGATGCATCAGTCTAATTGGTTGAGCTGGAGTCCGTTGCTGCTGTGAAGCTTGCTGCTGGTGCTGCTGTTGTGAAAGAGAAGGCGGGTGGTGGGGGTGTTGTTGGCGCTGGAAGGTGGGAGGAAAGAAAAATGTGCTTTGTTGTCGTTGTTGCTGCATTTTAAGTACGAATGTTGGGACGAATTACTTTCTTCCAATTAAGCTGTGACTAAAAAAAAGTGAGAGGTAATTTAGTTACAGACTGCCTTAAAATATTGTCTCGGTTGCTTTTTGGCAAAAGAATAAAAGGTTTGACTTTTAATTTAAGAAAGGGGAATCTTATTACTATTAATACGTATATTAATGTATTAATATATTATTATGAATGTATGTATATTATACGTCCAATATGTATATGTATGAGTAAAGTATGCGCGCGCGTAAAATTTTTGAAATGGATTGAATGTGAATAAGTGCGGGGATAAGAATTTTTTTGGTCAACGGTTATTGTTACTCGATAATGGTTAATGAAATAAAATAATAATCAAAATTATGGTTATAATAAAAGAGAACAATAAAGCAGACTTACACAAAATGTTGTTGTAAAGCCAGCCAGCCAGTGAGTAGGTAGGTGAAAAAGAAGTAGTATATACGTCAGAGAATTTTTTTTATTTATTTTAAATAAGATTTGCGGGGTAACAGCAATAATAGAGTAGCAGGTTAATAATTAATTAATTATTTGTTATTTTTTTTTCTTCAAAATCATTAATCGAATAAAAAGAAAAAATATATGTACAATAAAATAATGCAGTGGGAAGTTAGGATGATTTTCTTTTGCCTAGTTTCCTCGATAACAGGTAAAAAGAAGTAAAAAGATAAATAAAACAATAATGAGGTAATAAAAAATAACTGGGATTACCGGACCAAAAATACAAAGAAACAGCAGGAGAGAATATATTTTTATTTTTTTTATTTTTATCCTGTTATTATTAGTACGTATACTTACTTGTGGTACTTGTCAAAATTATTGGTGGGTGTTGTTGTCAAAAAAAGTTGGTTTCTCGGAACTTGCTGTTGCAAAAATAATGATGAATGATGATTGTTGATTGTTGATTGTTGATATAAATTTAAGCGCGAGTAAAATATTCTTTTTGTTTCTGTATATTCTATTCTATTATTATTATTATTATTATTATTATTATTATTATTATTATTATTATTATTATTATTATTATTATTATTATTAT